TGACACCCTACTTAGATCAATGGACAGATCATTCAGACAGAAAATCAATAAGGAAACATTGGCCTTAAATGACACTTTAGGACAAATGTCCATTTCATCCCCAAACAGCAAAACACACTTTCTTTTCAAGTGCATATGGAACATTCTCCAGGATAGATCACATGCTCAGTCACAAAACAAGTCTCAGTATATTTAAGAAAATTGAGATCATGTCAAGCATATTTTCTGACCACAGCACTCTGAGACTAGAAATCAACTAAAAGAGAAAAACTGCAAAAAACACAAACACGTGGAGGCTAAACAAAATGCCACTAAAGAACCAAAGGTTCACTGAAGAAATCAAAGAAATTTAAAAATACCTGAAGACAAATGACTATGAAAATATAATAATCCAAAATCTATGAGATGCAACAAAAGGAGTTCTAAGAGGGAAGTTTACAGTGATACAAGCCTGCCTCAGGGAACAAGAAAAATCTTAAATAAGCAACATAATCTGACACCTAAAGGAACTAGAAAAAGAAGAATAAAAGAAACCCAAAGTTAGTAGAAGAAACAAATCATAAATATCATAAATATCAGATCAGAAAGAAATTAAATAGACTAAAAAAGAAAAAAAAGATAAATGAAACTAAGAGCCGTTCTTTGAAAAGGAAAACAAAATTGATAAACCTTTAACAGTCTCATCAAGTAAAAGAGAGAGAGGGTCTAAATCAATAAAACAGAAATGAAAGAAGAGAAGTTACAGCCAACATCACAGATATACAAAGGATCATAAGATATTAATTACTATGAACAATTGCCAATAAAGTGGACAATTTTGAAGAAAGCTTATGTCTAGAAATGTACAATCTCTCAAGAGTGAACGAGGAGGAAATAGACAATATGAGCAGACCAACTACTCTTAATGAAGTTGAATCAGTAATAAAAAATACTCCTGACAAACAAAAGTTCAGCCCTCACAGATGAATTATACCAAACATTTAGAGAAGAGTTAACACCTATCTATTGCAAACAATTCCAAACAATTGCAGAGGAAGAAACATTTCCAAACTTATTCTATAGGACCAGCATCACCCTGATGCCAAAACCCAAAAAGATATCACAAAAAAATAAAATTACAGGCCAATATCACTGAAGAACATAAATGTAAAAATCCTCAACAAAATTTTAGCAAACCAAATTCAACAATACATCTAAAAGTTCATGCCATGATCAAGTGAGATTTATCCCAGGGATGGAAGGATGGTTCAATATCCATAAATCAATCCATGTGATAAAACATATTAACACGTTGAAGAATAAAAATCATATGATCATCTAAATAGGTACATAAAAACCTTTTGACAAAATTCCACATTCATTTATGATAAAACTCTCAACAGAGTGGTTATGGAACACACATACCACAACATAATAAAGGGCCATATATGACAAGCCCACAAGTAACATCATACTCAATGGTGAAAATCTCTAAGAACAAGATCAAGAACAAGACAAGGATGTCCAGTCTTGCCACTTTTATTCAACATAATATTGGAAAACCTAGCCACAGCAATCACACAAGAGAAAGAAATTAAAAAAGATCAAAATTGAAATGGAAGAAGCAGAAAGTCACTGTTTGCAAATGACATGATACTGTACATAGAAAATCCTAAATACACTACCCCAAAACTACTAGAACTAATCGATGAATTTGGTAAAGTTGCAGGATACAAAATTAATACATAGAAACCTGTTGCATTTATATACACTAACAATGAACTATCAGAAAGAGAAATTAAGAAAATAATCCCATTCAAAATCATATCAAAAAGAATAAAAAACCTTGAAATAAATTGAACTAAGAGGTAAAAGACCTGTACTTGGAAAACTATAAGACACTGATGAAATAAATTGCTGATGACACAAACAGCTGGAAAGATATACCATGTTTCTGGGTTGGAAGAATTAATATTGTTAAAATTACCATACAAATCAGGGCAATCTACAAATTCAATGCAATCTCTATCAAAATACCAATGGCATTTTTCACTGACCTAGAACAAATAATTCTAAAATGGCAAGGAAACGCAAAAGACACTGCATAGCCAAAATAATCTTGAGAAAGAACAAAGCTGGAAGTATCACACGCCCTGATTTGAAACTATACTGCAAAGCTACAGTAATCAAAACAATATGGTACTGGCACAAAAACAGACAAATAGATCAATGGAACAGAATAGAGAGCCCAGAAGTGAAACTACACTTATTTGGTCAAATAATCTATGATAAAGTAGGCAAGAATATACAGTGGGCAATAGGCAGCCTCTTCTATAAATGGTGGTCAGAAAACTAGACAGCTACATGCAAAATAATCAAACTGGACACTCTCTCACTCTGTGCACAAAAATAAATTCAAATGGATTAAAGACTTAAATGTGTGACCTGAAGCCACAAAGCTCTTAGAAGAAAACACAAGCAGTAGGCTCTTTGACATCAACCTTAGTAAGTTTTATTAATCTTTCTCCTCAGGCAAGGGAAATAAAAGGAAAAATAAACAAATGAAACTGAAAAGCTTTTGTCCTGTGAAGGAAACTATCAACAAAATTAAAAAGCATTGTACTGAATAGGAAAAGATATTTGCAAATGATATGTCTGATAAGGGCTTAATACCCAAAATAACAAAGAATTCATACAACTCAACATCAAAAGAGCAAACAACCCAATTAATAATGGGCAGAGTATCTGAATAGACAGTTTTCCAAAGAAGACATACAGATCATCAACATGTACTTGAAAAATATTCAACATCAAATCATCAGGGTAATGCAAAGCATAACCACAATGAGATATCACCTCACCCCTGTCAGAATGGTTATTATCAAAAATACAATAAATAACATGTATTGGTGAGGATGTGGAGAAAATGGAACCTTCATGCACTGTTTGTGGAAATGTAAACTGGTGTAGCCACTGTAGAATACAGTATGAAGATTCCTCAAAAAATTAAAAATAGAACTAATTCCACTCCTGAAGAAAACAAAAACACCAATTAGAAAAGATATATATGCATGGTCTCCCAGACCCACCCTGGTGTAACATGTGAGGGCACTTACACAAAATATGAATACCAGGAGGCAGGGGTCAGGGGCCACCTTGGGGGCTGGCCATTAGACTCCAGGGTTTGAATCACTCAATAACATTTGCCTCAGTTTACACATATGTAAAATGGGAATAATAGTAGTATCTTTTGTTTACGACTAAACTAGCTAATATATTTTAAAAGTTAAGAATGTATTTAAGATATTTATGAGTGAATTATAGGACATCCGTCATTTTCTTTGAATACTCCAGAAAAAAAATTGAGGGAGGAGAATGATGGTGGTTAATAAAACATATATGGCAAAATGTTAAAATGTTGATGATAATGATTTAAAGTGGGCAATACATACATAAAGTTTTTTTAATGATCTTTAATTTTTAAAAAAATTATTGCTGTATGGTTGATTTACAATGTTGTGTTAATTTCTGCTGTACAGCAAAGCGACTCAGCTATATATATATATATATATATATATTCTTTTTCAGATTCTTTTCCATTATGGTTGATCACAGGATATTGAATATAGTTTCCTGTACTATACAGGAGGACCTTGTTGTTTATCCATAATGATCTTTTCTTTATTTCTTAAGTTTAAAATTTCCCATAATAAAAAGTTACATAATTTTTTACATAAAATGTTTATAGCAGTACCTGGAACATAGTAAACAGTCAATAAATGCTGGTTATTATTTTTGGAAAAAAGAAAATATATATGCAGCCCTATGTTCATTGCAGCATTATTTACAATAGTTAAGATATGGAAGCAACCTGAGTGTCTATTGATAGATGAATGGATAAAGGATGTGACATATATACATAAATATACATGAATATTAGCCATTAAAAAGAATAAAGTCTTGCCACTTGAGACAACATGAATGGACCTAGAGAGTATTATCCTAAGTGAAGGAAGCAGACAGAGAAAGACAAATATTGTATGGTTTCACTTATATGTGGAATGTAAGAAACAAACAAATTAACAAACATAATAAAACAGAAACAGATGCAGAAAACAAACTGGTGGTTGCCAGGGGGAGGGAGTTGGAGGAGGAAAGAAATAGGTGGGGGTGATTAGGAGGTATAAACTTCCGGTTGCAAAATTAATGAGTCATGTGTATGAAATGTATAGCGTGGGGTATATAGTCATTACTTATATAATATCTTTGTATGGTGACAGAACTTAACTGGACTTATAGTGGTGATTATTCTAAATGTATAGAAATACTGAATCACTATGTTGTGTAACAGGAACTAACAGTGTTGTAGGTCAATTATACTCCCCAAACAAACAAACTCATAGAAAGAGAGATCAGTTTTGTGGTTACAGAGGCAGGGTGTTGGGGAAGGGGGAATTGGAGAAAGTCAGTCAAAAAGTACAAACTTTCAGTTACAAGGTATATAAGTACTAGGGATATAATGTACTACATGGTAAATATAATTAACACTGTGTTTATTATATATGAAAGCTTCTAAGAGAGTAAATTCTGAGTTCTCATCACAAGGAAAAAAATTTAGTTTATTTAATTTTGTATCTATATGAGATGATGGATGTTCACCAAACATATTATGATAATCATGTCCTGATGTATATAAGTGAAATCATTATTCTGTATACCTTAAATTTATACAGCGCTATATGTCAGTTATATCTCAATGAAAATCTAGGAAAATAAATAAATAAATAAAATACATTTTTCCAGAAAAATAACAATTATTTCTTTTAATCTGTTTAAAGACAAAATCTGACAATCATTGCTAATATTTGGTTGACTACTTCAACAGTGTAGAATCTATAAGAGAAAATACCATAACTACATATCATCTATTAATATAACAATACAGATTGGGGAATAACTGTATTTACCTATTGAAAAACTTAAATATTACCAAAATAATAATTTTTTTTTCATCTTTTCAGCAATCTTGACACAGAAGAACTATGTGGTAAGTTTATTTAAAGCCAATCAAACCCATTACTTGCTTTAGAATAAAAAAGAACACTGTCTTACATATTTCTATAAACCCTGAAATTAATGTCATAGATTAGGAGTTCTGGAATAAAGTAAAAGATAGTTGAGACCTCAAGGAATTTATCTTTATCCATGAGTTTTGTTCAAGCATGTATTTCACTGAAGAAAGAGTTTGCCCTTATTAATTTGTTCATAGCAGAAGAATTATAATTAGTACAATAAGTTTCACAAGAATATATTCCACCAGCTTGAATATATTTTTAAAGTGTTGTTTAATACAACTTCATTATTCACTTCAAATATATTGTGCAGAGGCTTTGGTTATTTTTTTGCAAAGCTGATCCCTTGATATGTAAAAACAACTTTGTCCCATACCTTGCCTAAACCATTCTGGAATGTCACTTGCAAAACAAGTGATTCAGTGGGGAGAGATGTCTTAACAAATTCCTGGTTTAGTGGCCTCTTCATTTACTTTCTTCGTTTTTGTGGGTGGAAACAAAAGTAATAGGCTAGAAATATGAAAAGGCAAATACTTTTGAGATTTATTCTTCGTTCTCAAAAATTTGTCTTCTCTAATAATAGAACTAGATTAAAGACCTATTGTATATTTATTTTGAAAGCTTTGACTCTGATTTTCCAGCATAATTTTAGTTAGGGAACTAGTTAAGGGGTTTTAATTCAACAGAATTGCTCTATATCTTTAAACCCAGTCATTGTACTCCTAATTCTGTGTTATAGTACTCCCTCTCAGTTCAAGAATATGCATTTTAATTTCCAGAGTGAAGTTTCATTTTTCATTATTTTGTGAATATAAAGTAAACATATTCTAATCAAAATGGATTCTAATTAAAACCAAAGTTTTCAGTGCTAGCAAATGAAATATGTAGACTCACACCCAGCAAAAATACTCCCTTTTATGTGGGAGGGGCAGTGTTTGATTGACATGGAAAATGGATTTATTGTGCTCTTTAGTAGAAGCCAATTAACAGGTCTAAGTATCTAAAACTTTCATTCTGTTGCTTTTATTTAGTTTATCAGTTTACTAAATTATGGACCTAGAATTCAAAATACTTTAATAAATCCTTTATTAAAATAAAGTATAGATATTTCTTATTTTATTTATGAAAGTAATATTTAACTATTTTTTTTAAATTTAGCAACACAGAATTATATAGGTGTATAAGAGAAAATGTCAAAGGCTCTCACTCACTTCTCTTTCCCCTAATACTGATCTCCACTGCTAACTTCTTGGAATGTATCCTTCCAAACATTTTTACACATGTAATGACATTGATATATATGAGTATGTTTTTTTCCAACAATGTGTACACTATATGATCAATACAAGTGCACACTGTTCTATATCATTTTATTAAAAAGGATGCATAGTGCCCCATTTACCTTAAAATTTTTAACCAAATCCCTTTCAGTTGTTTTGGGTTTTCAGGTTGTTTCCAAATTTCCACTGGGACAAACAACACTGAAGTAAATATCCTTGTTTGTATTCTCTTTGCACTCTTATACAAGTAGTTCTGTAAGATAGATTCCCAAAAGTGTAGTTACTTGGTCAAAGATTCTTCCAGTGTGCACGCCCAGCAGCAATATATAGGCAAGTCAAGATTACTCACTTTCCTAAATAGCAGCTTTAGGCCATAACTTATTCCTACCAGTCAATACATAACTTGACTTTAATTAGGTAATTGTGTATGAACTTTAGCATTGGGTCTTTGGTTTCCTATTTGTGCCATCTTTAGCTATGATCTAAAATCTATTGGGAGCAAATTTATTACTTTCCTGATCTTAAACAGCTTGTAACTGTTTTTATACTCTTACTCAATTTTTTATTAGTGTATAATTGCTTTACAAAGTTGTGTTAGTTTCTGCTGTACAAAGAAGTGAATCAGATATATATATATATATATATATATATCCCCTCCCTCTTGGACCTCCCTCCCACCCCACCATCCCACTCATCTAGGTCATCACAGAGCACCGAGCTGAGCTTCCTGTGCTATGCAGCAGGCTTCCACTAGCTATCTATTTTACGTATGGTAGTGTATATATGTCAGTCCTGATCTCCCAATTCATCCCACCATCTCCTTCCCCCTCTGTGTCCACATGTCCATTCTCTATGTCTGCAACTCTGTTCCTGACATGGAAATAGGTTCTTCTGTACCATTTTTCTAGATTCCACATATATGCATTAATATACGATATATGTTTTTCTCTTCCTGACTTACTTCACTCTGTATGACAGACTCTAAGTCCACCCACATCTCTACAAATGACCCAATTTCATTCCTTTTTATGGCTGAGTAATATTCCATTGTATATATGTACCTCATCTTCTTTATCCATTCATTTGTTGTTGAACATTTAGGTTGCTTCCATGTCCTGGCTATTGTAAATATTGCTGCAATGAACATTGGGGTACATGTGTCTTTTGAATTATGGTTTTCTCAGGGTATATGCTCATACTGGGTCATATGGTAGTTCTATTTTTAGTTTTTAAAAGGAACTTCCATACAGTTCTGCACAGTGGCTGTATCAATTTACATTCCCACTAACAGTGCAAGAGGGTTCCCTTTTCTCCACACCATCTCCAGCATTTATTGTTTGTAGATTTATTGATGATGGGCATTCTGACCTGTGTGAGGTGATACCTCATTGTAGTTTTGATTTGCATTTCTCTGAATATTAGTGATGTTGAGCATCTTTTCATGTGCCTCTTGACCATCTGTATGTCTTCTTTGGAGAAATGTCTATTTAGGTCTTCTGCCCAGTTTTGGATTGGGTTGTTTGTTTTTTTGATATTGAGCTGCATGAGCTCCTTGTATATTTTGGAGATTAATCCTTTGTCCGTTGCTTCGTTTGCAAATATTTTTTTCCCATTCTGAGAGTTGTCTTTTCGTCTTGTTTATAGTTTCCTTTGCTGTGCAAAAGTTTTTAATTTTAATTAGGGCTCATTTGTTTATTTTTGCTTTCATTACTATAGGAGGTGGGTCATAAAAGATCTTGCTGTGGTTTATCTCAGGGAGTGTTTTTCCTGTGTTTTCCTCTAAGCATTTTATAATGTCCAGTCCTACATTTAGCTCTTTAATCCATTATGAGTTTCTTGTGTATGGTGTTCTAATTTCATTCTTTCACATGTAGCTGTCCAGTTTTCCCAGCACCACTTATTGAAGAGGCTGTCTTTTCTCCATTGTATATTCTTGCTTCCTTTGTCAAAGATAAGGTGCCCACATGTGTATGGGTTTATCTCTGGGCTTTCTATCCTGTTCCATTAATCTGTGTTTCTGTTTTTGTGCCAGTATCATACTATCTTGATTGCTGTAGGTTTGTAGTATAGTCTGAAGTGATGAAGTCTGATTCCTCCAGATGCATTTTTCTTTCTCAAGATTGCTTTGGCTATTCGAGGTCTTTTGTGTTTCCATACAAGTTGTAAAATTTTTTGTTCTAATTCTGTGAAGAATGCCATTCGTAATTTGATAGGTATTGCAGTGAATCTGTAGATTGCTTTGGGTGGTATAGTCATTTTCACATTATTGATTCTTCCAATCAAAGAACATGACATATTTCTCCATCTGTTTGTGTCGTCTTTGATTTCTTGCACCAGTGTTTTATACTTTTCTGCATACAGATATTTTGCCCCCTTAGGTAGGTTTATTCCTAGCTGTTTTATTCTTTTTGTTGCAATAGTAAATGGGATTGTTTCCTTAATTTCTCCTTCTGATCTTTTGTTGTTAGTGTATAGGAATGTGAGAGATTTCTGCACATTAATTTCATATCCTGCAACTTTACCAAATTCATTGATTAGTTCTCATTGTTTTCTTGTGGCATCTTTAGAATTTTCTATGTATAGTATCACGTCACCTGCAAACAGTGACAGTTTTACTTGTTTTCCATTTTGTATTCCTTTTATTTCTTTTTCTTCTCTGATTTGCATGGCTAGGACTTCCAAAACTATGTTGAATAAGAGTGGCGAGAGTTGACATCCTTGTCTTTTTCCTGATCTTAGAGGAAGTGTTTTCAGTTTTTCAGCATTGAGAATGATGTTTGCTGTGGGTTTGTCATATATGGCCTTTACTATGTTGAGGTATGTTCCCTCTATGCCCAGTTTCTGGAGAGTTTTTATCATAAATGGGTGTTGAATTTTGTTAAAAGCTTTTTCTGCATCTATTGACATGATCATATGCTTTTCATTCTTTAATTTGTTAATATGGTGTATCATATTGTTTGATTTGCGTATATTGAATAATCCTTGCATTCCCGAGATAAATCCCACTTGATCATGGTGTATAATCATTTTAATGTGTTGTTGGATTCTGTTTGCTATTATTTTGTTCAGGATTTTTGTGTCTATGTTCATCAGTGATATTGATCTGTAATTTTCTTTTTTGTGTGATATCTTTGTCTGGTTTTGGTATCAGGGTGATGGTGGCCTTGTGGAATGAGTTCAGAAGTGCTCCTCCCTCTGCAATATTTTGGAAGAGTTTGAGAAGGAAAGGTGTTAGCTCTTCTCTAAATGTTTGGTAGAATTTGCCTGTGAAGCCATCTGATCCTGGACTCTTGTTTGTTGGAAGATTTTTAATTACAGCTTCAATTTCATTACTTGTGATTAGCCTGTTTATATTTTGTCATTCTTCCTTGTTCAGGCTTGGAAAGTTGTACCTTTCCAAGAATTTGTCCATTTCTTCCATGTTGTGCATTTTATTGGGATATAGTTGCTTGTAGTAGTCTCTTATGATCTTTTGTATTTCTGCTGTGTCCATTGTAATTTCTCCTTTTTCATTTCTAATTTTATTGATGTGAGTCCTCTTCCTTTTTTTCTTGATGAGTTTGGTTAAAGGTTTATCATTTTATTTTTATCTTCTCAAAGAACCAACTTTCAGTCTTAGTGATCTTTACTCTTGTTTTCTTTGTCTCTATTTCATTTATTTCTTCTCTTTATGATTTCTTTCCTTCTACTACCAT